GTCATTTAAGAAAAGGCAAGAAAACAGCAGATTATGGGATATACGCTCTCACAAGTCCCTGAGAGGAGCACTAGTTTCCCACAATGCACTGTAAAATGTTCCACAAGGTAGTGCACCAGATGGTGACGCGGGGCACACTGGGAAGCTTTTGTATCTTTTGCTGACACAACCTCTCACTAGGACGACGTGCCGGCAGAGGCAGCCAAGTGTGCATGTTCTCTCAGGAAACAGCAATGGTGGCAGAAGTATGCCGGAACAGGGGCAAACGGTAAATCCTCCTAATTTAGACATGGCCTAGGTGAGAACAGCGAGGGGGCTCACAGGGATAAATACTCTTTTCTCCCATCCTCCCCTTCACTGTAAAGTGTCCCTGATTTTCATCCTAAAAGGGGGACTGGAGGGAGAGAGGAGAGGGCGTCCGCCACTCTTTTCTTACCACATCCCCACCAAAATACTTCCCCCTGTCACCTCCAACCACAGCATCCCAGTTTCTCTCTTTGAAAATACAAGGGGAAGCGATTGCTACCTGTAGCCCCACTATTTACTTTGAGCATCGGCCGCCATTGGACACAGCAATTCCTGGGTTCTTAACTCTGTAAGAATCAGAGATTTGTTACTAAAGGGCCAATTGGCAACATCTCAGCAGTGTCGGGGAGAGAGAGGGCTTCCAGACACTAGACCCCCTGGGTTTGCAGACACCAGGATGAGAGTCCTTGTAACACGGACATGCAGATTCCTGCCAACAAAAGCGGGTGGAATCAAGAGGCAAGAGCAACTGCAGAATTGGATGTGGAGGCCCCACCTCTTAGGAGCCAGGACTGTATATAAGGTGCTATCTGTGCCCTGGACTGTCAACTGACAGCAGTTCCTTCACTGCACAGGAAGAATGACAGCTCCAGTGGCTCTCGTTTCTGTTACCAATGTGGTGAGTACTGATCCTCTCTCCACTCAGGGCTCCTGCAGGTGCTGCTGCCCAAGGCCAGCCAGAGACAGGGACAGGAATAAAGTAAAGGGATGCAGGGCAGCACTGGTGGGTCTGCGAAGCGGTCATGCAAAGAAACTTTTACTACAAGCTTCATTAAGAAAAGAAGTATCAGCACTGTTTGTACTGACAAATTTCAGAGTTGCAGACTAGTGCCAGGGATGTTGTGTGTGTGGTGTCACCTAGTTCTGTGATTTGCTTCAGCAGAGAACGTTTTGTTTTCACACACTGCCCTTAGAGGAACGTGACAAGCACGTTTGTAAATCTGAAAAATGATTCAGCCTCTGATAGGGAAAGTTAAAACCCAAATGCACGTTAACCGTTTTGTAACGATGCTGGTTATGGCGGGACCCAACTGAGAATGCCAATTCAGGACTAATTGCTCAAAACAGGGCAGTTACAGCCCAAGGCTGGGGTTTTTCCACCTCTAAGGCAAACCAAACCAGCCAGACTAAGAGGACTTTGGTCTCACCCCATTGGCTAACCACAAGTCTCACAAGCAATTCCCTTAGACACTCCAGTTTCCCAGTATCACCACCAGTGCCACTCGTTATGGGGACAAATGGTTATGAAAACCAATACCCCAATAAAAGAACAAACGGTTCTCCTGATCCCCAAGGACCAAGCCCCAGACCCAGGTCAATATACAAATCAGATCTTACCCACAAATCATGCTGTTGCCAATCCTTTAGAATCTAAAATCTAAAGAAAGAACAGGAGTACTTGTGGCACCTTAGAGACTAACAAATTTATTAGAGCTAAATTTATAGAATGGAACATATGCATCCGAAGGAGTGGGCTGTAGTCCACGAAAGCTTATGCTCTAATAAATTTGTTAGTCTCTAAGGTGCCACAAGTACTCCTGTTCTTTTTGCGGATACAGACTAACACGGCTGCTACTCTAAAATCTAAAGGTTTATTCGTAAAAGGAAAAAGATATAGATGAGAGCTAGAATCGGTTAAATGGAATCAATTACATACAGTAATGGCAAAGTTCTTGGTTCAGGCTTGTAGCAGTGATGAAATAAACTGCAGGTTCAAATTAAGTCTCTGGAATACTTCCCCAGCTGGGATGGGCCATCAGTCCTTTGAGTAGAGCTTCTGTTTGTAGCAAAATCCCTCCAGAGGTAAGAAGTAGGATTGAAGACAAGATGGAGATAAGGCATCAGCCTTTTATAGTCTTTTCCAGGTGTAAGAACACCTCTTTGTCCTTACTGTGGAAAATTACAGCAAAATGGAGTCTGCAGTCACATGGGCCAGTCCCTGCATACTTTGCTGAGTTGCAAGGCCTATTTGCCTTCTCTCAATGGGTCAATTGTATAGCTGATGGTCCTTAATGGGCCATCAAACATGCTAGGCAGAGCTAACACCAACTTGTCTGGGATGTTTCCCAGAAGCATAGCATAAGTTTGAAATACAGACAATATAGAGCCAATATTCATAACTTCAACCACAAAATTGATACACACATATAGACAGCATAATCATAACCAGCAAACCATAACCTTGTCTTGGACACCTCATTTGATCCCCTTTATACAAGATTTGGTGCCACTACCGGACTTTGGTTGCAACCGTGTTCTATATGGTCCAAGATTATATCAATAATGTCACACCTTTGTCTACTGCTTTTTCCCGTGATATCTGCGCTGCACCTGTCATGTTACTGGAGGTTAGTCTTCATAACAATCGGGAGGCC